ATTTGGAAAACAAAAAAAAGTAATGGATGTTGCTGTCATTAAAGATGGTCTGGTCTTGTGGATGGACTGAATATGAAGGGTGAAGTAGAAATAGGCAAGTTTGATAGTTCTAGATGAAGGATGTGCAAGTTAAACTACATGTGTATCCTGCAGTCTGAGTAATGAAGCAGTAAACTCTTTGCTTGGTAAAGTTTAGGAAAAGAAAGGCATTTGGAAGATGTGCCTATGGTGCATTTTACTAAAATTCACACAGGCCGTTTCTGGCCTTTTGAAACCTCAAATACCTAGTGGTGTGCGTGTATTTCTCAGCATCATATTGTCATCAAAATTGCATAGAATTACAGGGGGAAAAAAGACAGCTAAAGGAGTGGAAAGAAAATAATTTAATACAGATCAGACAAAAAGATGACTAAGAAGGGCATATAAGCAACAGGAAGTATTTAGGTGATGTCAATACTGTGGAAGGAGGCAAATTAGCCGGTCTGATTTGGGAGGAATATGCAAGAACGTGAATAAAAGAAATACAAGCTTAAGTGTCTTAACCATGGAATTACCATCAGATGAATATTAACAAGGAGAAGGATCTAAACAAGTACAAAGTGTAAACTAACAATTACTGTAAGACAGTTGTGGTAGATATATACATATAGTAATATAGAACTAGTTAAGAAAAAATGTTCTGGAAGTTATAGAAAGCAGAGCTGTAGAGACTTTGGGGAGGTTAAACATGGGGTCTAATACAGCCAGACGGCTCTGAATCATCTCACGCTGGGCAGTTCTGTCACCCCCCCCACCCATGGTCCTTGTCCTTAGTGCCAGGGGGCTATTTGCAGCCTGTGCTGCTCTGTACCACTTATKTGCCTGTGTCTGCTGTGCTGGGAAGTTGGGAAGTAGGAGAATGGGAAAGATGCTAAAGTGTGGCACAGCTGCTCACTTACCTCTCTTCAGCAGAAGTGTCTCCTGGCAGAAGGTGTCTCTGCAAAAATAATGTTTCTTGTATGTCTGTTGGGATAGGTTGGTGCCCCAAGCATGAGGCGCACACACACATATCCACACGTGGCTGGAGCTGGGACAGGGAATGGAGGGAGAGAGAAAGATGCAGCCTCAGGTTTGCAACACGCCTTCAACACAGCTTCTTGCCATCTTCCTGCAATCAGTAAAACCTGGGAGATGAGATGTTCTGTTCTTCTAGCTAGTTCACTCCTACTTTTGTCTTCATTAGATRATTTAGAGAGTACAAATGAATTCTTTAAGTCTATTCTGGCATTTGGTTAATATCAGAAACTTGACAGGCAGTAACACTGCAGTGACTAATGGGTAGAGCTCTATTTGTCCAGGTACCCTAACTTCAGGTTTTGCTAATTCCTGACRCACAAAATAGCCTGGCATATAGCTTCCTATGGTGACTGAAAAGGACCCAAATCACTCTGAGCTTAGAACTGAATTAGTTCAATTCTGGACCAACTCAACTCGCGGTAGAAAATTTATCTAGGAAAGTCTGATTACTCTAGTTTATAGCTGTATTTCACTTTAATCAGGCCTTTGCCAAAGAAAATAAACAATCATCTGTGGTGTATAAAGGGAAAACAGTTGAAGTGTTTTACGATGAAAGATTATTTGCCCAGGTGTTCTGAAGTGTTACACACCACTTTTCATAACTGCTGACAGATATGTCAATGCGGAAGATTCAGCCCTGTGTRCATGCCTCTTATGAATCAGTTAATGAAAGAGAAAATCCCACAGGCTACAGCCCTGATGCAGGAAAGTGCTGAAGTGTGTCCTTACCATGCGGCACGGCACCCCAGTAATATTTGTATATATACAAATATATATATTTCATTTCATTGTGATTTAGGCATATGGCAAATACCTAGCACTATTCTGAGCCTCTGAGTTGTTTATATTTAGAAATTAACCTGTGTCCACATTGAATTGCCCTTTCATGATCTTTTAGGAAAACAAAATACATTTTTCTGAATGTTTGGAGTACCTGAATGCCAGGCCTTTGGTCAAGATCTCATTTATCACAAGGTGAATTTTATTTTGTGGCGAAATTAGACTTGCTTGTTTTTCAGCTTTGGCATAAGAAAGTTTATACCATCTACAGTGGTATTCCCTTTGTGAAGGGGAAAAAAAACCCCAAACAATTCAATGAGTGTCTAATTGTAGAGGTTGTCTGTTAGGCCTGATGGAGCTCTTGGCGTGTTATCCTTAGACAAGGTATTGCAGTTCTTAGTTTGGAATAATTATATAATGACCCTTCTGGTTTTGGCAGCGGTGAGAACAACTAGTCAACTTGTCTTTTTCCCSTGAATAACCCTTTGAATCTGCCTGCTGTCACCATCTCCTTTTAATTTATTTTTCTTTAATTTATCTTTCTTCTTGGCTGGATAAACAGCTCTAGGAAAATTGACAGGCATGATACCACTTYTCCTCCTCATTGCAATCCTCCTTGTGCTTCAACTTACAACTTTGTGTGTGAACTGATGTGATTGTTTTGTGGTCCATCGTTGTATGCTGCTGTATATCACTTTAGTGAGCATATCTGAGTTTATGCGTTTAGAGAAGCCTTTCTTCTGGGCTGTAYTCTTTCCTGAAATAAATTAGGTTCTAGTTCCTATGGACACTTAAGAGGAATTCCACTTGTAAAATCAAACCAGTTTTAAAATCCATATTTCCTTGAAACTCATGGAGAAATACCTTTTACATTAGCTGAAGCTCTGGCCTTTAAATGCTTTGGTTTATGTATAGCTACAGCGTTAAGTTATGGCAAGTCCTCTGAACTCAGTGTCTTCTGTCACTGGGAAATAGAGCCACAGCTGGGGGCCGTGGGCTGTTTCAGTGGAAGTGCAGCCAGCCTCAGGAGGGAGAATGAACAGGGGCAGAAGGCTCCAGAGAGCTTGTACAGACCCTCAGCCGCCAGTACCTGCAAAATCTGGGGTTTGTGGTCTTCGAGTGGGGATGGAGGAAAGGGAGGACTTGGGGATTTTCAGTCTGGACTCAGTTGTGTCAGAAACTTGTTGCGACCTTTGCGAATTGTCTTAACAAYTGAAACCAGCAGCAAGACTCAAGGGTTGCAGAGAAGAGAGTCAAAACTGGAGGCTGATTGTGATATGAACTAACATTGCTTATAAAAAGCAGTATTCCCAGAATGAAGGAGAAGCAAGAGAAGTTAGACCCTTCCATGTGCACATCTTGAACATCACTGAAACACTAACGGAGCCTTAGAACCACTCTGCAAATTGTGGCAGTTTTTTGAACTTATTACCAAGTGACCCAGAGCCAGCTAGAACAAAAGCAGCCCCAAAAGCCAAGTTATAATATAAATTAAAATACTTAACCTTTTAAATGAATACAACTCCAAGTAATTAGTTAAGACAGAATAGAAATAAAAGGAACTCGTAAACAGTCCCCCTGACCACTGCGTGGGCAATGTCTCCTGTGGTCTCTTCCCATCACCTCTGAGGCCTCGGCGCTTGCTCAATCGCCCCTCTCTGTAGTCTGGCTAGCGGAGCCGCAGGCGGCCGGATCCTTGCTGGGCCTGTCCTGCTCCCATTCGTCTGTCGGGTTCTTTCTTCTGGCCTGCAAGTGTCTTTCCCAGAGCAGGMTCAATTGCTCCTCAAGGGAAGGAGCAATTTCTCCCTCCCTCCCCAGGATTTTTGCAGACCCCATCATTTACTCATTGAAGGAGCATAACACGCAAATAGAGAACAAATCAAACTGTCTCTGTCTCAAAGTCCACAACAAACTAAATCAAAACTCGATTAAAATGATTTCTTCAAAGTCCTGCTGAGGATTTAAAATTTAAGCAGGATTGAGCTCTGTGTCCTCTGGCTGTTTTCTGTATATGTATCCCTTYTGAATAGCTCTTGCATGGAGTGCTGGTGGGATGAGAAGATTCCTATTGAATTCCTTTTGATATGGAGAGTCTGTAGGAATTATTCACAGGCTCTTCAGTGGTGCTCCACAGTGTATACACGGCATGTTATGAAGGAGAAAATAATACTTTGGTGTTTTCCTAACTGACGTGACAGTATTGGGTACAAAATGAAAACATTCCTAATAAAAACAAGCGCCTTGCTTTTGTGGGAGCTGCAGCCCGAAAGGTYGAGCTCGCTTTGCTAGGCAAGTGAAGGGGAAGATCATGCTGCTGGGTAGCCAAGCGTGGCTCGCTTAGTTTGCATGTGGCTTGTGCTATTGAGATAGCAGCTGCCACTGGGCAGCTTTTCTGTAGAAAATGAAAATCTTACTGGTATTAATGTTACTAATTTGTCCTCTGACGCTGGTGAGAATCCCCAGCTGATTAAGGGGGACCTGTGCTCAGGTGGTTTGTCAGTGCTCAGAAGTGAGTAAGAGATGATCTCTGCTTTATAAGCAGAATACTCCGAGGGGAAGCAGGGCAGGGTGGTGAAGGGACGTGGTCAGTTGTGCTTGGTGGAACGAGGAGCTTTAAACCATCTCCCAACTTCCACCCCTGTGTGTGTGTGACTTTGCCATAAGTGACATCTGAACTGCCTCCCCACCTCTGCTTTCCCTTTCCCTTTGCTTTTACTAGTGCAGTAGGAATAAAATCCAAGTGTATTAGTGGAAACACTTAATGCTCAGTAATTCCCTTGCCCATTATTGATCCAGACCACTTYTACTTTGCCTCAGTAAAGTGCCCAGTCCTTTAAATCTGTATTTAGTTTATTAAAAAGAAGCACAGTCACACAAATGGCATATGTAGCAGATGGCTTGACATGTGCATGCCGAAGCAGTGATAGTTGTGCGGCCCCCAGAAGCCAAGCCGGGTTATCCTCCTGCGCTCCTCTCCCTGCGACCAGCAGCGGGGTGGGATCGCATGACGCCGTGTGGCCAATACTTACAGGAACTGTAATTCATCAGCAAGGTGAGGACAGTTTTCAGGGAGATACCACAACATCCTGTCAATTTGGAAATTCTGGCTACAGAGCTGGGAAGCTACAACTTGCTTAACTTCTGGTTTTCATTGTGTCTCCCAGATGGTGCTTTCAGATGTAAAAGCCTGGCACGCAAATCTCTGCTGCAGTCTCGAGGAAACTCAGGGCATTTTGATTTTGATGTATGTAATGTCTGGCTCTGGACCTTAGAAACATCGAATCCTTTGAACCTGCCATGAAGTAACTTACCTTCTTTCTGAATATAAAGGAGAACAAGAGTTTATTATACCGGCACATGCAATATAGTGTTTTTCTTTGTTATATAGCACATAGATGTGAGATGTTAATTTTTCAAAAAAAAAGAAGTTGAAAGGCATCAATGTTAGAATGAATGGTTGCTTTACATAACAGATTATAGTTATTCAGTGTATTAGTACTGTAATCCAATTCTTATCCAAATGGATTAATGATAGCCAAGTTACTAAAATAAGACCCATAAAAACACAAGCCAAGTGAATCATGGCCTGTATTAGTAGACTGGTGAATCATATTTGGTGACAGAAAAGGAGAGAGTCACAGAGTTTCACAACTGTGTTTCTGAACTAAAAACTAATTTTAAAGTGGATCTACCTTCTAAATAAATATTATGCCTAAAATATGGTAAATAGGGCACAAAGTTCTTGACATACATTGTTTTTAATAAGTGACCTTAGAATAATAATATCAGATCATAAAAAATACCCTTATGGACCAGTCCAATAGTCTGTCTTTGCTAACAGCAAAAGGAGACCCTATTTTGGGTAGATCAGGAGCATGGCTACTTTCTGGATGCACTTCCTTCATTTCCCATGGCAGCCAGATGTGTTCTGTAAGGTGCCTTAGGGAGTTCATTTATGCTCAATACCCCTATATGGACCTGCTGCTCCTGTTGATGCTGCCTACCTCCACAACTTCTGTTGGCATCAAGGTCCAGAAGGTCACTACTTGGCGTGTAAAGAAGCATTTTGTATTTGAAACTCATGTATTATTATTTTCACTCAGCGTTTGCTGAAAGCCAGTTCTGCTTTTACCTTATCTACCACCTTCATGATTTTGTACCTCCAGTGGATATTTCACTTCAGTTTTCTCATCTCCAAACTGAAGAATTCCAGCTTTTTTTAAGAACATCTGTAGAGAATAAACAAGCTTATCTAACTTTTAAAAAGGTGGACATTTTGACAAATGCATGGGTGTAATGGTTAGGGCAAGCTTGATGGAGCTGGAACGGGGTGAATTCTTGGCCCAAGTGAAATGTATGAGAGCTTAGCATTTGAACTGGGATCAAGATTCTGCCTTAATAGTCATACCTCTTAGGATGTTCTCTGTCCAAAAGATACCGTGCCCTGTGATAATGTATTGTAGCTCAATCTACTGAACACACGACTGTCTTTGCGTTGAACCTGTCTTTACGTTGCTTAAATTGAGGCCAGGTTAGGGTTACAGTCACACAGTGTTTTGCCCTGATAAACTGATAYGCAAGCACTGCCTTGTGAGCCATCCAGCAGCAAAGCATCAGAACGTGCAAGTTAATTTGCAGCTGTTGATTTGATGCCAACTATTTTATATGTCCTTTTTTGGATAAGGAAATCAATATAAAAGTCCATGGAGAGAAGGTATCAAAAATATACATATATGCATACATGATTTTGTTCAGCATTTGCATGTTGTTGTGTTGGACAGTGTAGTTAAACTAAAAAAGGCAACAATATGTAAAGATATTGTGAGGAACCTGGATGACAAAAGCATAGTCAGAATAACATAAATATCAACTGAGGGTAGAGAATCTCAYAGGCTTTTCTACTTCTACTGCAAAAAATGCCCATTTTATTGGCACTGCCTGATTCTTAATGGGGCTGATTCCACCTTGCCTAGCCTTGATAATTATGAGAGACTGTTATCTTTGGAAATAACTCTAGAAGTCACTCTAGAAATGATTGTGAATGCTGTGTTTCTGGGTGTTGGGCATCATCAAACTTATCAGTTATCCAGAGCCTAGTTTATACTATGGCAAAACACCTGTGGCATAGAAAGAGTTAAGTCAATTAAAAACAAAGCCTTTACCTCTGTCTAGTGCTTACATTCTGAGTGTAGATGCACCTGCCCCTCCTTTTTCCTAATGAGGTATAATTGGACTTTGTTTATGGATGAATAAAGGTCTTCATTGTAGAGCTTGGTTGGCTCTAATTGGGAAAAAAAAATCTGGCAAAGGGTGTTTGTCAGTTGTATGGGGTAACGCTTCTTGTCTTACTTTTACCTCCAGGAGCTGGAGAGAAGCCAAGGGGGATTATTTTTGCTATCACTTTTCATGAAGAGGTTCTTTTCATAGCGCACAAACAAAAGAGACAGAGAAGAACAACTGTAAGTTAAACACAGGGTCAGTAAACAAGACTGGCTAAAGAGTCTTATAAAACCACTAGCACATTACAAGACTAAAAATGGTTATGTATTAATAAAAGTGTTACTGAAACTGCTCCAAATGAAAAAAAAGGCTCGGAATCCAGGAAATAAGGCCTTCCAGGGTAGGAACCTTCCAGGGCCTTGGATCTGTTTTTCCTTCTACTCCCCTGCTGCTTCTAGCCAGTAAGGACAGGAGCTGAACCTGCACGGGAGCGATGACTCCTGCATCCACACAATGTCTGGGGTGCTCTGGCTCCTTTCCATTCCCAGAAACATTCTTCTCCTGTCTGCCTAAATATTAAATTCTAATATTGATATTGTCAGGAATGGTATCTCAACATGTTTTTTCTTTGATAACTCCTGCTTACAAAATTGAGAGTAAACACAAATAACAGATGGTTGTTTAACTGCGTTTGCACATTTCAAGTGCAAAGTGTTGGATATTTAGTGTATGTTTTAACCTCTATTGGATCAAACATGAAGTAGCATTTAAATGATTTTGTCCAACCTTTCACAGGCAGAAGGAGAACATATCTTTACATTCTTCACATATCTGTTGTTTTATCAGTCAATGTCATAGCGGAATGTGGGAAATCTGCTATTTCTCAACTATTTTGAAGGAGATGAAACTAAAATGCTAAATGTCTCCTTTTTATGGAGGAGAAAATGAGACTCTGGTCATGCTATGTCTGATTATTCCAGATTGCCTCTCTGCAGGTAACAATATCACTCTTCAACAAAGCTCGAGGTTGAAACTTCCTTACTTTTATGGCTTATTTTTCACCAGAGCAGCGTTRGGGCATGACGCGCTGTCACGTGTGATTCGCCAACACCCTCCGTGCAAGGAGTCAGCGTTGTGTTCGTGGTCGCTGCTTGTGTTGCTGCCTGCTCTGTTGGCCTCTAATTTATAGTGTATTTACCTATGTTTCTTTCAGATATTTCTGCTYTTGGTAGCTATTTCTGCAGATTTCAAAGCCTGTTAGATTTCTCAGCAAAACTAATCAGTTATCAGCAAAGTTAGTGATCAACCCAAAAGAACACCTTCAAGGTTTAGTGGGATGGAAATTCTACAGAAAACTCTTAAAATGAACTCCTTGTTCCATACACAGGCTTGCCCAAATTTCTTCTGCCTTCTTGTAGAAAGATTTTTCAGAAGTAGGTATTGGTATGAAAAGCCAGAAAAACAACAGCCAAGTGCTGCCTGTTTTATATCCCTAGACTTGTTTTAGTAGTAGCAAAAAGTGAGAACTGGAAAGTTATGCAGGTTGAACCACAGCCACAGCAGTGGATGTTACATGATGGTTTTAATTTCCCCAGCAAAGTCTCTCCTGTGGTACAAACAAATGCAGAAAAGAACCTGCCCTGAGAGCACCTCCCTGCAGCAAAGAAAAAGGCAGTAAAAATRTCCTGAGCATTGCCATATCCTTTAGAAAATAGCAGATCTACAGTTAAACTATGAAAAGAAGGAATGAAAGCAAAAGACTAGGAAAGGACAGGAGAGGGCAGTGGTGGCATTTTCCCTAAGAGGAACAGATCCTGAGACCAAGTCAGAATTGAACACTATAACCAAACTGGCAAACTTAAAAATAAATAAACAAATGCTTGCAATTTTGGCAAGAGCTTACTCTGAAGAATTAACCATGATTTTATAAGAAYTATGAGTAGTGATTCTTACTAAATATTCACTTCTTACTATCGCAGCCAAGTTCATGTTTTGTCCTTGCKGAGCAAATCACTGGCAGTTCTAAAATTATTAATGTTTAATAATAGCAATCATTAACAATATAGGATATCATGGCCTCTTGATAGACTGTAGAAAAGTGAGTTGTTGTCTTTGTTTTGGAGAAAGCTTAGAAGGGAAGGAAACTGTAAAGAAGGAAGGCTAGGAAGTATGACTTTGAAGCTAAAATTAAATAGGGAGCACTGGTAGTGAAATCACTGTTACTGGAGGGAGGCAGTGGCCATGCTTAGTTTGGCTATACCAGGAACTGAGATGCTTTATATTTTTGAGTCAATTTTAAGGGAGACCTCAGTAATCGACTGTATGCAGATAATGTCTAGTGTTGTTTGTAAACAGCAGAAATATGGAAAAAAAAATGTGACTTTCTATTATATTGGGCACTGTAGCTTTGCATCTTTGTGCAGAAGTGAGACTGTGGGGACCAGGGGTGAGAGGGGGCAGTTAAGAGAACTTTGTCCCCTACCTCATCCAAAACTCTCAAGAGAAAGAGACACTTGGGCAACTTGATGGTCTTTTCTGACTAGGTTCTAGTTGCTAGGATTGGAGTGTGTTTCCAGTTGTAAAAAATAACAGGAGCAAATACCCCGTGGCAGTGARTTATTGTTTGTGTGCCAGGAGCGGAGCGGGGCTCTGTTCAAGATGGTGGTTGGTGATGAGCAAATCCAGGGTAAGAGAAAGTCCCTGCCCCAAGAGSTTCCAGTTCAAAGGAAAAGGAGCAAACAGCTGTTAGCCTTTCCAAGCGAGTCAACACAAACTTGAGTCTAAAAACAGGCAAAAGATTTTGGTCTTGTCTATTAAAAAAAAATTTAAAAAAGGGAAAAACAGCCAACGAATGCCAGCAGAGGGAGAGTGGCAAGGGGGAACTGAGGGAATGAGGAGCATTCTTGCAAATTTGTTGATGACTAACATATTTTAAACAGGCTGCTTTTTAAGCCTAGAAGGTGACTTGCTGAGTGGTTATTCGCTGTTCACTCCTTGGGCTTGATAAGAGCTCCCACAGGACATTCAGTCCTTCCAGCTTCTCCCTCATGGGTTTATCTGTGAACATCAGTACAAAGCAAAGGGGAAAGAGGCCAAGCAGGTTTGTTTAATCTCTGCTGTGACTAATAGTGGTGCTGGGCAGGCTGCTCTTTAGC